AAGAGAATCGCTTAAGCCCAGGAGTTGGAGGTTGCTGTGAGCTGTGGCACCACAGCACTCTACCAAGGGCAACAAAGTGAGACTCTGTCTCTACAAAAAATAAAAATAAAAAAACCCAAATAGTTAAAAATATTTGGAAATAATAAGATTGATTGTTGGCATCTATACTGAACACATACAGATGGTTTTTTATTATCCCCTAATGACAAGATAACAACTAAGTATAACCACTGCTTACTTATACAGCATTCACATTACATGTTCATACTGGAGGGTCTGGGCATGGTGGCTTGTGTCTGTAATCCCAGCACTTTGGGAGGCTAAAGATGGAGGATCACTTATGCCCAGAAGTTCTAGGCTTCAGTGAGCTATGATCATTCTACTGAGTGACAGAGCAAGACCCTGTCTCTTAAAGAGTATATAGGAGTTTGTGAATAGGTTATATGCAAATGCTATGCCATTTTATGTAAGGGCCTTGAGCATCCAGGTTTTTTTTTTTTTTTTGAGACCAAGTCTCACTGTGTCGCCCTTGGTAGAGTGCTGTGGCATCACAGTTCACAGCAACCTCAAACTCTTGGGCTTAAGCAATTCTCTCATCTCAGACTCCCAAGTAGCTGGGACTACAGGCACCTACCACATCGCCCGGCTATTTTTTTGTTGCAGTTGTCATTGTTGTTCAGCTGACCCAGGCCAGGTTCAAACCCACTGGCCTCAGTCAGTGTATGTGGCTGACACCATAACCATTGTGCTATGGGGCACTGAGCCCATCCACAGATTTTGTTATCTACGGAGCGGGGACAGTGTCCTGAAACCAGTCCAACACAGAAATGACCGTATATTATTTTTTGTCATGTAGACTATTGAATCTGACTTTCTCTAGGTAATAAAAGAACATGGAAACAATGATAAATAACATTTATTGTGCACTTAAAATATATAAGGTACCCATCTGGATGCTTCATGTACATTGTAGGAATCGATGCTGTGCCAGACCCCCTGAGGGAGCCAGGGGTTCCTAAAGTTAAGGATGCTGAAACTGGCTGTGTTGTCACAGTCAACCCTGCCTGAGAAAGCCTAAGCCTTATCTCTTTGGATATATGGATGGATCTGGAGCTTTCAAGGGAACTCGCAGGCCTTGAAAAAGACGTGGCCTTTTCTTCTGGGAAGCTATGACTTGCTGCAGGGTTTGGAGTAATGCAGCCTGACTTACACACTGATCACGTGTTGGTCAAGTCACGTCTATGGAATTGAGACCAGACGAGGTGGGGTGAGCTGAGTAGTTAGAAGACAAAGGACACTGTTACAGTGGTTCAGAGGTAGATAATAGAACTAAATATATTTTAAAGGCAGAACTGACAGGATTGCTTGTGGGCTAGAGAAAGAGGGTGGCATCAGGGAAGATAGCCAAGGTTTTTGGGCTGAGCAACTGCAAGAAAATAGTTTATTTTTACTAAGGAAAAAGAACCTAGGCAATGCACATCTTTCTTTCTTCTTCTTTTTTTTTAATTAACTCATAGCTGTGTACGTTAATGCAATCATGGGGTACAATGCTGGTTTTATATACCATTTGAAATATTTTCATCAAACTGGTTAACATAGCCTTCACTGCATTTTCTTAGTTATCATGTTAAGACATTTATATTCTACAATTAATAAATTTAACATGTGCCCTGTAAAATGCAGCGCAGGTGTGGTCTTACCAGTTACCCTCCCAGGACACACATCTTTTGTGGGAGAGTGGGTATGAATAAAGATTAAAGTACGAAACGCCTCCTGTGAAAGAGCTAAGTAGAGGTTTTGAAAAGTGGAATATGCACACTTAGGGTTGATGGGGCTGAGTCGTTGTGGGGGTTGGGGGAGCATTGGATAATGGACTTTTTTTTTTTTTTTTTTGTAGAGATGGAGTCTCACTTTATTGCCCTCAGTAGAGTGCTGTGGTATCACAGCTTACAGCAACCTCCAACTCCTGGGTTTAGGCGATTCTCTTGCCTCAGCCTCCTGAGTAGCTGGGACTACAGGCACCCACCACAATGCCCCAGTTATTTTTTTTTTGTTGCAGTTTGGCCGGGGCTGGGTTTGAACCCTCCACCCTCGGTATATGAGGCCGGTGCCCTACCCATTGAGCCACAGGCACCGCCCAATATAGGAAATTTTCTCATCTTTCAAATTTTGGAATGTAAGGATATGAAAAAGGAAATTGAAGTGGGGGGGCTATAAAAATCTGAGAGGAAGGTGAGCAGAAGGTCATAACAAACAGGCATGGATACGGTTAGGGTATGGCGTGTGTAGACAGACTGAGGGGTGCAGAATGGAACAGCAGATCCAGGAAAGGGCTAGAGGACTGCAAAGTGAGTCTGTGTAGTCACTGAGGCTGAAGAGGCCAAGTTCAGGGGCACAGGTGAACACCTCTGTGTCCTCTTCTGATGACATTCCTCAAAGTCACCAACTTGGTGTTTATTTTCTCATGCATATTTTTGCACCATTTTCTAAATATTGAAGATGCACACAAATATGTAGCATTATTTTGCATATTCTTAAACTTTATATAAACGGTACCATATTGTATAAATTTCAAAACTACTTTTAGCTAACATTTTAACAAATGTATCTATTTTGATAATGTGATTTTATATTTTCTTTTCATTCCTAAGTAGTTGTCCATGAGACTTGTAAAACTACTTAATCTGTTCTCCTGGTAATGGAACTTTTAGGTGTTCCACATTTATGGCTGCTAAGAAGTGTAACAAGGAACACTCTTACATACCTATTCTTGTGCATATGTATAATAATCTTTCTAATATGTATACTCAGGTGTCAGATTATTAGATCAAAGTCAGATTTTTTTTAACTTTTAAAAAAGCCTTATAGACTCAAGTATTTGATGAAAGGTGTGTGCCCAATCAGAAAGTTATATGTAAGATTTTCTTTCTTTTCTTTTTTTTTTTTTTTT